TCCCTCAAAGTCGCTACCCAAGTTGATAGGGTTGTTAAGAAGGCGTATGATGTGTTGGCTTTCATTGGCAGGGGAATTGAGTTTAAGAGCAGCAAGGTTATGCTGCAGCTCTATAAAACCCTGGTTAGACCACACTTGGAATATTGTGTTCAGTTCTGGTCGCCTCATTATAGGAAGGATGTGGAAGCTTTAGAGAGGGTGCAGAGGTGATTTACCAGGATGCTGCCTGGACTGGAGGGCAGGATTTATGAGGAAAGGTTGAGGGCGCTAGGGCTTTTCTCATTGGAGCAAAGAAGGATAAGAGGTGACTTGATAGAGGTGTACAGATGATGAGAGGCGTAGGTAGAGTGGATACTCTGAGACTTTTTTCCAGAGCGGAAATGACTATTACGAGGGGGCATAAGTTTAAGGTGATTGGAGGAAGGTACAGGGGAGATGTCAGAGGTAGGTTCTTTACAGAAAGAGTGGTGGATGCATGGAATGCACCGCCGGCAGTGGTAGTGGAGTCAGATACATTAGGGACATTTAAGCGACTCTTGGATAGGCACATGGATGATAGTAAAATGCAGGGTAGTTTGATCTTAGAGTAGGATAATAGGTCGGCACAACATCATGGGCCGAAGGGCCTGTACTATGCTGTTCTGTTCTATGTTCTATGTTCAACCTAAAGGGAACATGTTGGACCTGTACTCTACCCAGCAGTTTTCTGAACACCTCCCACTGTTCTGCTATAGATTTACCCCAAGTAGCTGTTCCTAATCTATTTTGGCCAGATCCTTCCTTATTTTAACAAAATCTGCCTTGGCCTAATCCAAAACATTTTTTTTTGTAAACCACCTTTCTCTTTTTCCATAACAAACTTAAACATTTGGTGTTGTGGTGGCTGTCACTAAAATGCTCCCACTGTCACCTCAAATGCCTGTCCAGATTCGTTCCCCAGGATTAGGTGCAACAATGCATTGTTCCTTGTCGGATCTTCTACATGTTGATACAAAAAGCTCACCTGTATACATATCAAGAAACTTGTCCCCTCTAAACCCTCTAAACCCTTTGTACTATGATTATCCTAATTAATATTTGGTTCATGGAAATCCCCAGTATAGTTGCCCTATTATTAATTACGTTTACATACCATACACATTCAGAAGAAAAGTCATACTTCTATGATTAACTTTGCTTCCTGTCTACAGATGCTGTCAGACCTGCTGTGTCTATCCAATACTTTCTATTTTCATTTCAGATCCCCTGCATCCACAGTAATTTGTTTTTAACTGCCTGTTAGTTTACCCTTTGAGTGAAGAATTGATACAATCTGCTCTGTTAGGGTGGCAGTGCCTCAATTCCAGGGCCAAGACTGTAAATTTTACATTTTATGTTGCCTTTCATTCTATTGTATTCAGGAATTGTGGCTTGGCAACACAATGTGACAAAGAACATAGTTTTACTGACACCAAGTGGTCGAAAAGGTTTAAGGCTATGTTCTTTATGTCAGCCTAAAGTGACATGATATATCCAAAAAGACATCATAAGAAATGAGAATGATGTGATGCATAGTATTTTGTTCCCAGTCTAAACCAAGAACTGTTAAAAAGATAAACCATGGGTGCACAGTGAGCTGTTAGAAAGTGTGCCTGCATGGATGTCAGGTGCAGAAAATACCTAACTCGGCAACAATTTTTCTGTGGGGAAACAGCTTGCCAATTTTCATTAACTTGCCTAACACAGGTAGGATTGACACTTCAACAAGGTACAGAAAACTGTCACCGTCTATGGAACTGAATCTCAGCCAATTTTACCTGAATGGAGAAAAAGAGTTCTAAATGGGAAGGAAGCCTTGCTTTATAAAGACACATAGAGTAATAGAGTCAGCACAGAAATAGACATTTCAGTCCAACCAGTCCTTGCCGAACATAATCCCAAACCAAACTTTTCCCACCTGCCTGCTCCTGGCCCATATCCCTCCAAACCTTTCCAATTCACTTACTTATCCAAATGTCTTTCAAATGTTGTAATTGTACCCACATTCACCACTTCCTCAGGAAGTTCATTCCACACGTGAACCACCCTCTGTGTAAAAGGTTTGCCTCTCATGTCTTTTTTTAAGTCTCTCTCCTCTCACCTTGAAAATATACTCCCTCGACTTGAAATCCTCCATCCTAGAGGAAAGACACCTACCATTGACTCTATCTATACCCCTCATTATTTTATAAACTTCTATAAGGTCACCTCTGAATCTCCTATGCCCCAGTGAAAAAAGTCCCAGCCTATCCAGCCTTTCTTTATAACTCAAACTTTCCATACCCAGCAACACTCAGGTAAATCTCTTCTGAACCCTACCAAAATTAATAATAGTCTTCCTATAACTGTGCAACCAGAACTGGACACAGTATTCCAGAAGAGGCCTCACCAATGTGCTGTACAATCTCAACCCCAACTCCTATACTCAAAGGACTGAGTAATGAAGGAAAGTGTGTCATGTTAACGAAGATATGAATTAACACAGTGTGACGATTAAAAAAAAAGCTTGTGGCGATATGCTGCTGAAAGTTATTTTTGTTCATCATCTTCTTCTTGGTCAGACTCTTTTTATTTAGCTAAACAACCTAGGTTAATAGCTTCTCTTCTTGTCTTTTCCTTTCACTTTTCTTCTTTTCTTCATCTCCTGACGTTGTGGGGAACCTGTAGCGGTACTCGGCAGGTCGTCGGCTGTGGAGATAGCGATGCCTGGAGTGAGGACTTGGCGGGTCATCAAGCTGTGGCGGTGGCAGTGTCCAGAGCAAGGACGTCTGGCTACAGTAGGCCCAGCATGAGGTCTAGGGGACATTGGTGGGTCATTGGCTGCACCTGTGGCAGTGGACGGAGCAAGGATTTCTGGGTACAGCAGGCCTGGAGCGCGAAGTCGGGGACTTGGCGGGTCATCATCTGCAAGCGATGCTCAGCAGGTCATTGGCTGCGGCAATGCTGGTGCCTGGAGCAGGGATTCTTGGCAGCGGCAGGTCGCTGTAGCAGAGACGGTGCCCAGGTAGGGACTGCTCGCTGCAATAGGCCTGAAGCGTGGTGACACCTTGCAGGGGCCTTGGAGAAGCCCTGGAGCTGTGTTTGAAGATCCTTTGTATAGAAGATGAACTCTATTTACGTAATTTCTTTTTATTCTTTTTGTAACTCAAAATGGCACTGAACAGTTTTCACTGCATCTTTATAGATACATGTGGTAATAAATAACTCAAAAATATATTGATTGAACATACTGACTATAAAGATTATTAAGATACAGGTTATTTCCTCCGACATCTTCCTTGATTGCTTCAATACCATTTTTGCAGATTATATCTTTCCTGTTTATCCTTCTGATTTTTCTAAACTTTTTCAATATAGAAGCATTTTATATTTTTATTCTTACAGAACAGTCCATTGTCAAATCCAATCACTAGTCTGCGATAAATTTCATTTCCCTGTATCCATTTTGCTATGAATCCTTTCATCTTGTCCAGAACTTCAATCTCATGAATATCTTCTTTCCCTTTTTTTTATTCAGTGTGGACCTTCAAAGTCAATGCATCTTCTGAAACCAGAAGTCGATGTGTCAACATGCCGATCGGCATGTACAAAGCGGCTATGTGGCCAGAAGGAATGTTGATCATGGTAGATCTTTTCTTAAGGGAGGCATGAAGTTACACCTTCCATCATCAATACGTCATGGAAGTAATCATTCTGAATAATTATTTTTCATGCTCATGTTGCTTTAAGTCTTATTTCCAATTTTTAAGATTTTTATGTAGTCTTTGGTTAATTTTTTGCTGTTTGAGCAGTGAAAGACATGTTTAATGTTGTGTTTTTTACCGGTTGATAGATCTCTCTTTGTCTCTCTGATTAACCTTTTAATTTGTTTTTGCATGTCTGTATGTACATCCCAGTGGATCCTCTTCTCCTTTCTCCAAATTAACATCTCTTCTAAAAGATGGGATTTTTGACAGTGTAGCACTTCCTTGGTACCTTGCTGAAATATCAGTCTAGGTCTTTTTTGTGTTGTTTATTCTTTCACAGGATTAGCTGTTGCTGACTCAGCTAACAGTCACTGCCCAAACCCAACTGATCCTGAGAAAATGGAGGAAGAAGCCACCCTAAGCCACTGCAGAACATACAGTCTAGGTGCGCCCATGATGCTGTTAGGAAGTTTCAGAATTTTGACTCAACAGCAGTGAAACAATGTCAGAATGGTGTGTGGCTTGGAGGGGAACTTGGAGGTGGCGGTACTGCAATGCATCTGCTGCCCTTTATATTCAAGCCTCTCATTTGAACTTGAGTTTTTGTCTTTCTGATTCGGAGGTTAGGTTGCTAGTAACTCAGCCCTGGCTAACAGAAAGGACAATCAAGACAGCTGTGCTGTTCAGGGCAGCCCAATTTGGCATGACAGGTATCAGGCTATTTATATGAAGTGCTTAATGCTTGGTTGAAGCACAGTTTCTGGACAGATTCTTTAACCTTTACTTTTATGGTGGGTAGTGTAATTCCATAGCATGATAAGCTATGCCCTATACACTACCATGGATTCATTGGTGCCCATTTTGTGCCTGAAAAATCAGCACAATGTAATTGAATTTCTAGGTCAAAGAACCTACCAGCAATTCTCAAGGTTCAAGAAAAGGTCAGTCCCTACTCTTCATAGAAAAGTTAAATCAAGTAGCTTACATTTAAACCATAGGCAGAAGAGATGGAATGATGTTTCTGATATTCACATAAATACAAAGACCTGGTGGTATTTATTGACCCTACCAGAATACATTCTACTTTTAACATTTTTAATGTTGTTATTTTAAGACAGAAAAAAATACAAATAAGTACTTTTAAAACCTGAGAAATGGATTTAGAAAAGATAAAAGTTGGATCATTTCAGTTTAGATCATGCTATTATGAAGCCATGAACTGTATTTATCTTGTAAGTTTAAATGTCAAAACAAATTTTTTACTCATCACATCTCATTGCATTTCTAATCTCTTACCTTTTGTTACAATGCAGTTCATAGATGGGGGTTTTAAACTGGATGGACTTGACCATTTCACCACTTCGAAGTGAGTATAGATCCACACAGCAGTATGGTGGGCTGATGACAAAGAGAAACGCAAATGAAGTTACACAGAAGTATGTTCAGCGCATTAAAACAAAACACTAGATTTGAGATTACCATTAGTTTTATGATTAGACTTACAGTAGTTGATGTACAGTGCAGAACTTTTCAAAATACACATGTAAACAAAATAAATAAAGAAACCAGAAAAATGCTTCAGGTAACACAGTTAATTCCTGCAACACATCCATTCTATATCTAACCAAGATCTGTCATCACCTGATCAATAAGATCATCTGGTACGGCCTCTCTAACACATATACATGCAGCTGCCCAAGCGTTCTGACTTTGCATAAATTGGCCCAAGGCCAGTGAAAAATTACAATCTGTGAGTAGTTCTGAGCAAGAAGCAATGTTTTGCCACAGATGTACCAATAAACACATGCTGAGGGTACACAGTTAAATTCACAATAGTGTGAAGGGCACCACTCAACCACCAACTGACAAGATCAGACAAATGTAACTTCCTTGCATTTCTGCATTGTCACCACCAAACAACCAGAAGACAACCCCAGTAACACAAGACAGCTACTCAGCAACTAATTTTCTTTTCAGACTCCCTATTCTATCTGTTTAAATCAGTTTTGGCATGACACATTACAGTATGTTTTCTTGCAGTTAGCAACATACATCACAGCATTTTTTTTTACAATAAATGGAAGGGAAATTCATCAGATAAACTAATCATTATTTACTCACTTTCGAAAATGTTATCCTTCCCAGCTGGACATAGGAATGCTTTGCACAACTGAGAAGGTACTCAGTTGAACAAGACTGCATTGAAGTCTGTCATTTCAACTGAGAGTATATTGTTCCAATCACTTAAGACACCAAATACTCAACAATAATGTTCAAAACACACAAATATTAAAAGCATCAACAACAAAGTTGTCTTAATGCTATATTGGGAAAATGGTGATCCAAAATAAAATTCAGTAATAATTAATCTTGCATTTAAATCTTTCATAACATGTAGGGATGAGTATGTTGATAATTTACAAATGCTGACAACCTTTCAATAACTAAATATGATGTTCCTTCTTGCAGAGGTTGTGCAGTACAAATGCTATTGTGCAGTTCCAGTCAATGAATTCGGTGACCTTTTCACACTACAGTATTCATGACAACTCAATTACTTAAGTCACGAAATTTAAGTTCTAAGTTTTGGATCAACATCTATGTGGTTCGGAGAAAGAATCATTCACCACAACAAATATACCCAGTTCTCAATCAAAGGGATGGGTGGGGTTGTTAATATTCATTTAAAATAGACATAATTCATTGAGAAAATGTGTCTTCCTTGTTGGAACTAGTGTGGACAGCATGTCATTTACTGGAATACAATGGACTCATTTATGACACACGCACAAAAAATAGTGCATAGGGTATGAAGCTGGCCGCAAAGATCAAAGATGGAAACACTTAAGCGGTAAATTAGAAAAATATGCACAACAGTTTTTAAAATGTACTTTTTAAACAATGTTCTCATTGAAGTTCTGTCAGTTTAAAAAGTGTAAAATATTAAAAAATGTAGTTACAAGTAAGGTGATGAGGATAGAAAGGAACAAAGTAAATTAACTTCATATTTCGGAGCACAAAATTCTCAAAGACATTTGAAATGGACAGAAATGTCAGTGCTCATCACAAATGTGCAAATAATTAAAGATGAAAATGGGAGGTATCAACATGAGCTGAACTAGGAAATTTAAACCAGACCAAATTAATGTGTGGGTTCTGGGCCAGTTCTGTCAAGAAAGTTGATCAGTTAGCAAATAATCTAATGTTTTATTTGCATTTCTGAATGAACATCCTGGCGTCCAGAGAGAAAGTGGACATCATATAAATCCTTTGTCATGTAATTGCATTGACTTTTAGTACAAGATAACAAATTAAAAACTGAAGATGAAAAAATGACAACTAAATTTAATTGAAACTAAAATATTGTGTTATAGGTATCGATAGATCTGATACTAAATGTATATGACTCACATCTAGCACATTTTCATCATACTTAGGGACAAGAGTAGGCCATTCAATTAAGTCATGGCTGATCTATACCTCAAGACCATTTACCTGTACTTACTTCATAAATTTGAGATCATTCCAATCTCTGCTACCTACGCCTTCACATACACTAAGTCCTGTTCACCTATCACCCCTGTGCTCACTTATCTACCTTGGCACCTGGTCAAGCAACATCCAAATTTTAAACTTCTTATCTTTGCTTTATCATCACTTCGTGGTCTCACCCTTTCCTACCTTTATAATTTTCTTCAGCCTCAAGATATCAACACTCATCTAATTCGCTTGTGCATCCCCAATTTGAATTTGTCCACCATTAGTGCCTATGCCACCGGGTGCTAGGACCTAACCCCTGTAATTACTTTCCAAAATCAGCCCAACTTTTTTCTTCCTTTAAGATGCCCCTTAAAACCTAACTCTTTCGACCATCAGATTTGATGTTGTCTTATGTAACTGGATACCTAATTTTGCTTTATAACAATCGTATGAACTGGCTTAGGACATCTTATTACATTTAAGAACATAAGAACGTAACATAAGAACTAGGAGCAGGAGTAGGCCATCTGGCCCCTCAAGCCTGCCCCACCATTCAATAAGATCATGGCTGATCTTTGTGAGACTCAGCTCCACTTACCCGCCCACTCACCATAACCCTCAATTCCTTTACTGTTCAAAAATTTATCTAGCCTTGCCTTAAAAACATTCAGTGAGGTAGCTTCAACTGCTTCACTGGGCAGGGAATTCCACAGATTCACAACCCTTTGGGTGAAGAAGTTCCTCCTGACCTCAGTCCTACATCTGCTTCCATTTATTTTGAGGCGATACCCTCTAGTCCTAGTTTCACCTGCTAGCGGAAACAACCTCCCTGCCTCCACCTTATCTATTCCCTTCATAATCTTATATGTTTCTATAAGATCTCCCCTCATTCTTCCAAATTCCAATGAGTATAATCCCAGTCTACTAAGTCTCTCCTCATAATCCAACCCTCTCAACTCTGGAATCAACCGAGTGAATCTCCTCTGCACCCCCTCCAGTACTAGTATATCTCTTCTCAAGTAAGGAGACCAAAACTGCACACAGTACTCCAGGTGTGGCCTCACCAGGACCCTATACAGCTGCAGCATAGCCTCCCTGTTTTTAAACTCCATCCCTCTAGCAATGACAAACAAAATTCCATTTGCCTTTTTAATTACCTGCTGCACCTGCAATCCTACTTTTAGCGATTCATGCACAAGGACACCCATGTCCCTCTGCACAGCAGCGTGCTGCAATTTTTTACCATTTAAAACATAGTCCATTTTCCTTTTATTCCTACCAAAATGGATGACCTCACACTTATCAACATTGTACTCCATCTGCCAGACCTTTGCCCACTCACTTAGACTATCTATATCCCTCTGCAGACTTTCAGTATCTTCTGCACACTTTGCTCTACCACTCACCTTAGTGTCATCTGCAAATTTTGACACACCACACTTAGTCCCCAACTCCAAATCATCTATGTAAATTGTAAACAATTGCGGTCCCAACACTGATTCCTGAGGCACACCACTAGCCACTGACCGCCAACCAGAAAAACACCCATTTACGCCTACTCTTTGCTTTCTACTGGTCAACCAATCCTCTATCCATGCCAATACATTACCTGTAATACCGTGCAACTTTATCTTATGTAGCAGCCTTCGGTGTGGCACCTTGTCAAATGCCTTCTGGAAATCCAGATACACCACATCCACAGGTTCCCCATTGTCCACCATGCAAGTAATGTCCTCAAAGAATTCCACCAAATTAGTTAAACGTGACCTACCCTTCATGAACCCATGCTGGGTGTTCCCAATAGGACAATTTAAATCCAGATGTCTTGCTATTTCTTCCTTAATGATAGATTCAAGCATTTTCCCCACTACCGAAGTTAAGCTAACTGGCCTATAGTTACCTGCTTTAAGATAGTATCAAAATTAATTTGTTGCTATTAACAATGTTTTAACCATGTTTGTTTGTCCCATATCCATTGTTATCCTTAATTAATAAAAAAAATTCCCAAATCAAACTTCATAGCTCCAATTGTCCCAGCATTCAAAGCCTGTTGGGAAGACAGTTCCAAATTTCCATTACACTTCCTAATTTCACTTCTCAGTAACTTATCTTTAATTTTACAATGGTATTCGATTGTACTTGACTTGCCTACATGTGGAAATAGTTTTGTAATATTCAATTTCAAAAGTTTATTTAGCCATAATTAGATCACCTCTCAATTTTTAAAATTCAAGGTACTCTAAGTGCCTTACATGTAAATCCCATCACATTTCGTTTGAAGTGTGAATATAAAAGTCACCAAGACATTCCTTGATTTCTCCTGACTTTGAGAAGTAGCTGAAAATTCACTGACTTCCAACCTTCAGAATAATATCCATCAACTCATCAAGCCTCAGAACATAATTTACAGAAACTTAAAAGCTTCACAAGGTTACTCAGGTTATGCACAGGTGTATCTAAGTAGCAGAATGTGTGTGTAACATCATGTAAAATACTTGTCCTTATTAAACAGTGATCAATGCAAGAACCATTTGTTAATACTAAAAACTAAGAATTTTGTCTTGAAGAATTACACCAGTACAAATAAGATACAGATTTGATTTCTCACATCATGTAATTCAAGGAGACAGTCACATTTCTGAAGAATTGGTACAGATCTAGTTGTGGTCACAGAGGCGGGGTATAACTGTCAGTAAAACTCTAGGTGTAGAGGGGCATCAGCCTCTGCTCTTATCAAACAAGCATGAGGTTCTTGCTGCCCATTTGGGTGAAAGCAAAACTAACAATGGTATCACAGCAAAGAAGGCCATTCAAATGTAAGGACTGAAACTGAATTACACTGATGATAAGGGACAGTATATTCAACTGGACAGAAACTGTTCTCTGCAGCCATGACCAGAAGTTTCAAAGTCTGCACT